AGGAAGCTTCGACAACTCCATGTTTTCAAATAAAGGGAAAGGTCGCAAGTGAGGAAAAATGTAACAATCCTTTCACATGTTAGGGGAAAAAAGCAATATTGTTGAAAAGGAACGAAAAAAATAGGAAATGAACTATAGTGATAGCAGGTCATCCGAACAGTATCTAAGGTAATGCAGCAGCAACATAACCTTGTTTCACAGAAAAATAAAAGTTTATCGCAACTGTATGTGAAAAACAAAAGAAATTGTTTCTATGCATTCAAGCGGATAGTTATTAAGGATTATTCTAATCCATACAAAAGGAAGAAAGTCATAAGACAGGCAGAATTTCACACACACACACATACTGACCAAGACTCAATTTTGTTAAATTATTATCTCCCCTACCTGAATTTCTTTTTCCGAAAAAAATAATCCTACATATCAGCAATCAACCAAAAAAAAATACTACATGAATATATATATGTTTTCAGGAAGCAGGAAAACGAGATCATTGTTTATGACATATTCTTGATCCATAAGTGCTTAAGCCATCACCATAAAGAGAAACACCCTTTTTTTTGTAAGGCACTGTTACACGAATAAAATTTATTTTTAAATAGAAAAGCATAGAATGTTGCACGAATAAAATATTTCTTAATTGTGTTAACACTCCAAGAATCAACAAACAACTTCCGTGAAGAGTGATTCAGGAGTATGGGTTAACATTTCAATCCTGAAATCCATCTTGAACAACTCAGCATTAAATTAATATGATAATAGCCATTGAAGAAAATACCATTGTAATTTACATCGCTGATCAATCAAAAGCAAAAAATTGTAGGAATGTCATCTCATTGTAATTGCTAATAACCAAACAACTCCGAGAACATGCAGTATTTAATCACAAAGCTGCTAGTGATACCAATCAACTTTGTTTCTTTTTCTTTTGGATGTTAGCTTATCCGTTTTTAGTTTGTATATTATTTTCTCTCTTCTAATGATATTTCTTATTTTTATCAAAGAAAATCACAAAGCTAAGATATCTAGCATAAACCTTTCCAAAACGATTACAGAAACTACTACCAGTGTATACTAATCTTATAATTGGATAAAGGAAGCTAAGAGAAAGGAAATTGAGAATGGTAAAGGAAATTAGAAAAAGAAATAACACAATAGTGAAAGAATTAGATATTTAAATCATTTGAAACGTGCCACTTTACCCTCATCCAAAAAGAAAACAACATGAATTTTGATAGTGTTGTTTCTAAATTTTAGTAACTATGTTGCTGTCTTCAACTTGGTGAGTACCAATTCAGTTCTAGGCATTCTCTATTAGCAAGAAAAATAAAAAATGAAGTGATCAACATATGGACCACTCTTGCACTGATTACCTCATTTGCATTCTCAGCCTCTTCTGACCTCTTCTTCACAAGCTCATATATTTCTTTCTTATATCTGCCAAATAACATGCATAAGATATTTCAGCATACAATTTAGGCATCAGTTGTCGAGTTTTGACTGTTATACATGCATTTAGGACAAATCATGACGAACCCACAGCTTAGTAACTTCTAATCTAAATATATTGTGAAGAAAAAATTAAGTAAAAGGATCCCATGGCAATAAAATAAGTCTTTACCTAAATTCACGATATTCTGCTTCAGTAAGCTTTACACCTTCAAAAAGATATTGTTCATCTTCTATCTCATCCCTGATATAAGAAAATTATGAAGGGAAGAAGTTCAAAGTGAGCATAATACATGCAGCGAACATTTGCCATCTTACTAGAAGGAAATCCCTAATTTTGGACAAATTCATCCAACAGTAGCAGTATAACAAAAAAGAAACCCACGTACTTGATTTCCTCCAGTTTCTTTTGCTCCCTCTTCTTCAAATATTCTTGTCGTGAAACTTTCCTTAATCAAATACAAGAAAAGAAAAAATGTTTCTTAATCGTTACATAGAATGAACATTCTGTGAAGCAACAAATATAGCGTACTACAGATCATCTTTTTAACTAACATACTTTCTTTTCTTTGGATAGAAGGAGAAGTATATTAAGATGTGAATAGAATAGTTATACGCATGGAGAACAAGACATTCTCCAAAAAATGGAAATGAAGCAAAATGGAAAAAGAAAAAAAAAAAAAAAAACAACAACAACAACAAATACAATAGCCTCAACATTAAAAGAGCTGAAAAAAGACACTACTGATAAAAAAAATTCTATATAGTATAGAAAGCACAATGTCAGGATATTTCCCGTTACCCTTAGCTGTAGGGAGCTCAAGAATGCCATGCACTCCCATGTACTATCATACTTTCTTAAACACAATATGTATTAGTCTGCACTACCATTGATACTAATCAAACAGTAAATCAAAGATTTAGCAATTTTCTTCTCAACTTCCCTCTTACAGGATTCTCTTCTTTTTTGTTAAAATAAAAAATATAATATATTAGAAGCATTTAGGGGATGCAATCCATATACAAAAACATGTCAGTCAAAATATCAATCAAGTCCCTAAAGTCCTCTTAAGAATAAAGATGGCCCTTAATCAAAAAACCTAGTCTGGGACCAAGCACCCTTGATACTATCAAAAGATAATTTTGTACCCTTGAAAGCTCTCTTATTTCTTTCTTTCCATATAACTCAAAAAGTAGACAAAGGGACAAAACTAAGTTGTTTGTTATAATGCTTATCACCGTAGATACTTCTCCAAGTCCATAACTCCTCTTTGACTGACCTAGCCCCAACCCAACTTACCCCCAGTAAAATATCAGCCAAACACCACAATTTATAAGATACAAGATACCATAGCAGATGAATGACTGTCTCTGTGCCCCTTTGCACATATAGCACCCATTTACAATGACTTTTCCTCTCCTAATGAGGTTGTCTAGGGTTAAATTGCAGCTCCTAACCGCCTTTCAAGCAAAAAAAGCCACTCTTGCAGATACCATAATCTTCCAAATTAAATTCTACGGGAAATCTTCATCTTGCCTACCATTCCCCATCAAGAAGGCATAATAAGAGTTCACTGATAAGGCACCTCCTGCACTAATCTTCCATATAGGCTCATCCAAGGTTTCTGAAGGGCCTGCATGAGCAAATAATAATTGCATCAAATTCATGTACTCGTTTGTCTCCCAATTATTGAGGTTCCTCGTCAAGTTCACCACCTAAACTCCACTACCTGAGGGGTTGGAGAAGGAACTTGCCACCTTGACCTCCTCGTTAAGGGCCAACACAAAGATAGTGGGAAAGCATTGATCCAAGAATGCTGCTCAAGCCATTCATTCAACCTGAATCTCACTTTCTGACCTGACCCAATCTTTCAAGCGTTACAATTCCGGAACTCCTCTCTTCCTAAGCCAATCCTCTTCCAAAGGCCAAGACCGGGATCACTACCTTGAAATTCTTGAGTACCAAACCACACTGTTAAATGCAAAACTTGGGCTTTAATCACTCTCCACCACAAAATTATATATCTCTCTCTCATGAATCTCCTTAGTCATTTCCCAGCAAAGCTTTGTTGAATTCAACAAGGGATTTGATATCTAAAACCCCCTGTTAAAAGGCTCCTGGACCCCCTGCCACCCCACTAGGTGATAGCTCCTTTTATCCTCCGAGTTTTCCCATAAAAATCTACATTGGATAGCATCCGATTGCTTCGCCACACTCACTGAAATTATTAGCAAAAACAGGTAATAAATAGGAACATCGACCATGTACGTTCAGTGAGCATCAGTCTATCTCCTTACAGGATTCTATGTTGTATCTTTTTTTCAGAAAAAATGATTATTTTCTATATTCAATAACTACTTGTTTATCAAGAAAACATTACTACTATTTATGCTCTCTTCCTTCAGTTTCATCCTAAATTTCACAGAATTTAAACAACTTACAGAATATATTCTAAACCAAGGAGGGAACTCTAATACATAATAAATAAAAAGTGGAATTTTTATCACAAACAGTACAAAAGCAACGGAGGCATTCATTAATATTGGTGTAACATTATTACGAATTATATGAACAGGTCAATATGAGCGGAAAAACAATAAAGGAAAATTAGCTAAAATCATATGAAGTCACAGAAAGCAATCATGTCCGCATTTCTCAGCTTTCATTTGTCCCATCCCAGCAGCTAATTCAGAAGTATTTCATTTTTTTCAACTATTGGCACACTATACTCAAGGCCACCAGAAAAGCCACCTCGTCCAGCAAATGGAAGGAAAAAAATGGTAGATACATTTCTTGTGCATTTTGTGAGGAATAATATATTCTCACATTAAATGTCAAAACCCCACACTTCTTTATACATCTAGATATTGTTATTGAAATCACAATTTAAGCAAGCACAAACCTTAACGATTCAAGATCATCATGCTCCAAAGCCTTTGCTCTCCGAATAGCCTCTTCTGTTTTACAATATATATAGGTGAGAAGATATCTCATGTGTCCAATAACATATTATTCCTTGCAAGTAGATGCATAAAGTTTAAACTTCTATACCTTCCTCCTTCTGTGAAAGTTTGGGCTCAGTTAACTGTTTGTCAAAAATTCAGGAGAATGAAGATTTCAGTGAAACATGAATCAAACGAGAAGAAAACACCTACATATGGAAGAAATATCCATTTCAAATGTGTAATGTTGACCCATGTACCAGGAAAACATGCTGCAAAAACGGTCTCTTCATGTTAAGCATTCAATGCATATACATGTATGTAGATACTACAATACTGAAATTGAAAGTAAACTATGAAACAGATATAGAGAATGTTATAATAGAATATTTGATCTAGACCATCCCAATGACAGGCTTCTGCTAGGCTATATTCATAATCATTTTCAGTTGCACACTTTTCTTTTTTTTTTTTTGCGAAAAAAGAAAATGTTTGTTGAAACATCATACTAATGGCAACATCCACATGATTCTAATATTCAAAGGTCGCTTGCTTTAAACCCAGAAGTTCATGTCATTAAGCTAAGTAGATGCTCCTTTATGCACATATTTATATGCACATGTGTGAAAGATTATGCAAGGATATTCAACACAGGACAGAATGCAGAGTCCAAGAAGACCAAATATTTCAGCACTACAAAATTGAAGAAATAACAGTTTAGATGCATACTTTTCGTGTCCGAGCAGCAT